GGTGGCCGGGAGCGGCCACTGCACTCCAGTCTGGGCAACAGAATGAGACTCCAACTAAAAAAAAAAAAAGAAAGAAAATAGATGTAATTCTTACAGTTATGGAGACTGAGAAGTCCAAGGTCAAAAGGGCACCTCTGGTAAGGGCCTTCTGGCTGGCAGGGACCCCCTACAGAGTCCAGATGCACTCAGGTCAACACATGGCAAGAAAGCTGAGTGTGCGTGTGCTAATCTGCCAGCTCAGATCTCTCTTCCTCTTCTTTTAAAGTCCCACCCCCATGATCACAGATTGATCCATTAATCCATGAACGAGACCCCTCACTACCCAATCACCTCTCTGAGACCCCACCTCTCAACACTGCTACAACGGGGATTAAGTTTCAACAGGAGTTTCAGAGGAGGCAAACATTCAAACCACAGTGGGTAACCTTCCACTCATCTGTCTAAGGCTACTACTGCTCCTTCAGTAGTCTAAGGCTACTGCCCAAGGCTCAGAACAATCTCCCCTGCTATCTCATTCTCAATATACATTCTCTCAGTCCTTTCAATACAACTTAAATTCCATATTAACAAACCATTCCCCACATCACACAGACCTGTGTACCCCAGTTCTCCAATACCCCCCTAAAATGACACCAACAAAATCCTCTTCCTCCCCTCCCCCCAAAACATGGCTAAAGTAAACTTTCGTCCTCTTTATGCTTCCCATCAATAAGTATTTTGAAGGTTAACACCATGACCTTTGTGCTCTGTGAAGTGCCTATGATGCTTAAGAAATCTCAGATAACCTGAAATGATAAACACTAGTTCACATTTTTTTCAGATGCAATTACACCTGGACATTCCTACACTATCAGATACAACATCCTGTCACACCCAACATGAATATCCATGAAGAGAAAAGCAGCAGCTGAAATGGTTTTAAATGGTAAAGATGCCATTCCTCTGATACATCCCAGTTTCCAGTAATTTTGCAACAGGAGGTTAGTTCGCCAAGATTTAAGAAAGCCATGTAGAACTCACACAATCCCTCAAGCAAGGTAGATTACTGTTTGCCAAATATCTCCAAAGAACTATTAAAACAAGAACTCAAGTCCCAGAGCTCTTTAAAATATTCAGAAGAACCTTCAACGTGGGTAATTGAAAAAACATCCCCTATGCAAACAGAATCCTCATCTCTTTCTAAAGGAAAAAAATTCTGAAGCCAACTCAGCACATGGCAATGTCTGAAGAAGGATTTCAATTAGAAAAGTAAAAGAGAAATGGAATCTACAAATATATCCCTCCCTTAACTCCCTTCCCCTCTGCAAAAAAGGACCAGCCAAAAATTTTAATTTAAAAAATGACCTTGTATTTAAAGAGTCCTTAGGCAAAGGGCTTATATCACAGCATCCTTACAAGACAGAGATCAGTGACAAGGGCAGGCAACCTAACCTCTTAAAGGGAATATGCGCCGTCTTTCCATAGCTAAGAAACACTCTGGTGAGTTAAAGTTGAGACGATCAGAGTTTGAGCCCTTGGGGTATGGTACTTTAGATTCAGGTCTAATTTCTTTTCTTTTCTTTTCTTTTTTTTTTTTTTTTTTTGAGTTGGAGTCTCACTCTGGCACCCAGGCTGGAGGGCAGTGTGTCATGCTCCTGGCCACCGCAGCTCAACCTGCTGGGCTCCGGCGATCCTTCCGCCTCAGCCTTCTGAGAAGCCAGAACTACAGGTGTGCGCTACCACACCCGGCTAATTTTTGATTTATTGTAGAGGCAAGGTCTCACCAAGTTCCCTGGGCGGGTCTTGAACCTGCGGGCTCAGGCAATCTTCTTGCCTCGGCCTCCCAAAGTGCTGGGATTACAGGCTGAGCCAAGGAGTCCGACCCAGATGCCTAATTTCATAGGAGGAAGCCGTTGCCTATTCCAGGAGTGGGGTAGGTAGTTCACCATTTACCAAGACACTCTGGCCCCACCCATGTCCATTTGGAGCCCTTCAAATGTTGATGAAAAGACTAAAGACTGCGAGCCTGGGTGTTTTTACTCTCTCCCGTATAGACTGTAAAACACATTAAGGACAGCCTCTTGCAAACTAAGGAACATGCAAACTGGTACCTGGAAGGCCATTAGGCAAAAGCTATAAAGAACCTCACAAAAAAAAACACATTCTCTCCCGCCTACCAACTGCACTTCCTAGGATGTCAACTAAGAACACGTGCAAAGATTTAGCTTTTAAAACAGTGCTTTATGCTACTACTTATAATAATAAAACTTAGAGCTAACCTTAATGACCACTGGGGACATTGGTAGAGGAAACTGGTAAATTCACTGTTTGCACTATTATGCAGTCATTATAAATGATGTTGTAGAAATGGCTTTATTAACATTGAAACATATTCACAATACACTATTCAGTGAAAATAAAACAAGTTATGAACCAGTATGTGCAGAATGAACCCATCATTGTTAACAGACAGCAATAAAGATATACGTATAAAGAAAAAACTCTGGAACGTGTACACAAGAAAATGTTTAACAGTGGTGGGAAAATGAATGGTTGTTCTTTTTAAAATTCTCTGTATTTTCTGATTTTTCCTTCAATGAATATAGACTTAGAAACAACTGTGTACTCAGAGAACTTTCTACAAATATGCAACCAGTCAACCGTCTTATGTTCCGAGGGGCTCCGGGATCTCACTCCGACTCTCCTATCCCCTAAGTAGTTTTTCTCTAAGAGTGACCACCCGCCAGAGTCTCAGAAGATGCCCAGAGCCCAACGGCCTTTTTCGCTTCCAAGCCACTTCAGCCCTGGTACCACCAAACGATAGACCAGGGTCAAGGCAAGAGCACACTCAGAAGAAACTCCGAGCTGGTCCCTGGGTTCCCACCTCGGAATTCAAGGCCACCTCTCAGCTGCTCAGCAGCAAACCATCCCTGGTCACTTACCTCCCCCGAGGGCAGCGCCCCACGCCTGACCTCCTCGTAGGCGCCCACCTGCTCCCAGGTGGCCAGGAAGGCGTGGGTGGGCGTGAAGCGCGCGGCCGAGCGCGGGAAGCCGGCGCGCACATAGCGGGCGGCCAGGTCCAGCACGGCTGGGGACTTGTCCTCGCGGTACAGGACCCGGCCCCTGCCGCGGCTCGTGTCGATGTCGGCCAGGAAAGGGGCGATGGCCGGGAAGTCTGTGGGGAAATCATCGTCCACGTACTGAGTTTCCCTCGGGAAGTCCTGGGTGGAGATGATACCGTTGGTGCCAACCTGGGAGAGGAGAGGGACAGAAAAGGTGACGGTCGCGCAAGCCCAGGAGCGGCCACCATGTCGCGCGGGGAGGGGAGAGAACCGCCCAGGGCAAGCGGCCTCCCCTTCCCCTGACAGCTGGGGAGTCCAGGTCCAGGACGACCCACGAGACCGAAGCGACCGTCGCCCCCGCCACCCACACCCCACTCGCGGCGCGATAGGTCCAAGCGCCCTGAGACGCGTCCACCCATCTTCTCAGCCCCTGAGGAGCGTCCCTGGGGAGAAAGCCTCCAGGCCCAAGGAGGGCACACCCCGGCTCCGCGGACGCGCCCAGCCCGCTCGCGGTCCTGACTGCGACAGCCTCCGCCGGCCGCCCCAGCAAGGCCACCTCCTCTCCTGCCCTGGACGTGTCCGTGGCTTCGAACGACCCTGGCGCCCCGACTGCAGCGGGTCGGGGCGCAGCATCGCCCTCTAGCCCGGCCCCTCCGAGCGGCGCCGGGGACAGCCGGGC